ACATGAGGTCAGGTGTGGGGTTTTCTACTTGTGGAATCTCATTAATGCTCAGAATGTTTTGGATTTTGGAACAGTTTGAATATCCAGATAGGGATCCTCAAGCTGTCTAAAGGTTGTGGACTTGGAGAACGCTGGCTGTTTCTGTGACATCTTCCCTTCCCTGAGCCTGGTTCCCATCTGTAAAATGTGAGGATTGGCTCTCTCTGGTCTTTCTTGTTTTGGAGTTCTAGAGTTTTTTTGCTTGGTTTTCAGCTGGACCAAGCTGACTGAAAGATTCTTCAAGAATACACCTTGGCCTGAGGCTGAAGCTATTGCTCCACAGGTTGGCAACGGTAGGTGTGAGCTGTGTGTCCAGTGTGCATTTTGTTTCACCAGAGTTTGGTGTATTAACTGGCACAATTACTTGTGAATGAAGGTTGTATGGGTTAAGAGGGGTCAGAGTCACGTGGGACTCAGTTCCTCCAACAACAAATTGTGACATGTGAAATGTTGTTCATCAGGGAAGCTTATTGGAGACTCAGTATCCAGAAGTTTTACCAGAGCCTGGTCATGTAGGTGCCCTCTGCCTAACAATAGAATTCCAGGCTCCTTGAAGGAAAGCAGTTGTTCATCATAAACCTTATTGCTTGCACAGAAGTTTAGGCACCACAGGCCATCCTTATCCACTAGGGAATGGTGGAAACCTTCCTGAAATCTAGGTTCCCAGAGGACAGCCTCAGGAGCAGTTTTTACTAAGGATAGCAGTCTCAGGCCTCCTGTTAATTCTTCCTGCAGCATTGATCCCTAAAAAGCTTTTGCTCTCTTCTCTTCCTCCTTCCTTTCTTCCTCCCCTCCTTCCTTCCTTCTTTCCTTCTTTCCTTTCTTCCTTCCTTCCTTCCCCACTCCCTCCCTCCATCCCTCCTTTCCTTACTTGGGGATGGAACCCAAGGGTGCTCTGCCACTGAGCCACATCCCCAGTCCTTTCTTTTCTTTTTTCCCCGTGGTGCCAGGGATTGAATCCAGGGGCACATAACTACTGAAACACATCTCCAGTTCTTTTTGTTTTATTTAGAGACAGCGTCTGATGAAGTTGCTTAGGGCCTCACTAAGTTGCTAAGGCTGGCTTTGAACTTGTGATCCTGTTGCCTCAGCCTTCAAAGTCTTTTTCTTTCTTTTTCATAGTGCATCATATCAATAGGACAGTTTCCTTTAATAACAGTTTCTAAGTGTTTGTAATTTTGATAGTATATTACTACTCTCTTTGGGGCTATAATTGTTATTTGCTGGCTTATTTAAAGATCCTGGAATAGAAGTCTAAATAATGGAGGGGAGTAAGTCTGAGACAAATTAGAATTTTGTCATACATGTATTCTTCTTTTGTGGTACTGGAGATTGAGCTCAGGGTGTCGCCTATTCTGGGCAAGAGCTCCACCATTGAGCTACACCCCCAGGCCCAGCACAAGAGTTTAGATGCTGTTTAGTCTCCAAAATCACCTCTCTCTCTTCTCTCTAAAGATTAAAACAGGGGCTGGGGATGTGGCTCAAGCGGTAGTGCGCTCAACTGGCATACCTGCGGCCCGGGTTCGATCCTCAGCACCACATACAAACAAACATGTTGTGTCCGCCGATAATTGAAAAATAAATATTAAAAAAATTCTCTCTCTCTCCTCTCTCTCTCTCCCTCTCTCACTCTCTCTTTAAAAAAAAAAAGATTAAAACAGCCTGAAGACTGCACTTGTTTTGTAGATTATTAAAGCACCCTTTTGCCATCTCTTTCAGATGCTGTTTTCCTGATTTTGTACAAAGAATTATACTACAGGCATATATATGCCAAAGTCAGTGTGAGTATTTTTTTGAGGTGTTACTAGCAGTTTTATTATAACTATGCCATTTTCATCCCTAGAAAACAGTCTCTATTTATAATAGTTCTGTATCTAACAGCAGTTGGCATGTTTTCTGAGCTTCCTTTGAGGATGCGGTGGGCGAAATGATCTAACCCAGAATGCTAGGGACTGCTGCAGGCAAACTAACACCATGCAATCTCTCTGTCCTTTTTATGTCTCCCTCCCATAGTTCTCTGACAGGGCACTGATCCCCATGCACTGGATTCCTAGCTG